GGTCTCTCACTAGTGAGGGCGGCAACCAGGAAGCCCTAGAGAGCTCCATGTCCCCACCTCCCACAGCCCCGAGGTTAGAGGTTCTCCCAGCCACACGCAGCTTCTCATGTGGGTGCTGGGGATCTGAACTCAGGTCCTTAGGCTCGCACATGGTGATGTCTAACTTTACGTCAATTTGACACGTTAGGGTCATTTGGGAAGGGATCTTGATCGAGAAAAAAAAACCTTTTCATAGGATTAGCCTGTAGGCAAGTCCGTAGGGCATTTCTAGATTGATGATTGATGTAGGGAGGGCCCAGCTCACTGTGGGTGGTGTCATCCCTAGGCTGGTGGCCCTGGATGATGAGAGCAGGCTAAAAGCCGGGCATGTGGTGGCGCACGCCTTTAATCCCAGCTCTCAGGAGGCAGAGGCAGGCGGATCTCTGTGAGTTTGAGGCCAGCCTGGTCTACAGAGCGAGTTCCAGGACAGCCGGGGCTGCACAGAGAGACCCTGTCTCGATTCCTACCCTGCTTGAGTTCTTGCCCCAACTCCCTTCAGAGATGGACTGTTACCTGGAAGCATGAAACAAGCCCTTCCCTTCCCAGTTTGCTTTTCTGTCGCGGTGTTTATCAGAGCAACAGGAACCGGACTAAGACACACAACAAGCACTCTTAGCCATGCAGCCACCTCCCCGGCCCTAAGTGACCCTTCTAATGGGTGCACCTGTCCTTCTTGATGTGGCTTCTTCCTCATATGCCGGTTCATGACGGCTTAACAGAGTGGAAATGTTCAGAACATGACCCCCGGAAAGTGAGCCGTCGCTGCCGCAGGGCTGGCACTCACCACACGAAGAGCGAGTTCCACTTCTCGTGGACGTAGATGGTGTCCACCTCCGCGTACAGGGAGCCTTCCTCATCCTCCACTGTCAAATTGTACTTCCCCAGGGCCACGCGGTAGGTTAAGTCTTTGCTGTAAGGGGGAAAGAGATGTCAGGTGGCTTCTGGCAGGACCAACCAGAAACTGAGGGCATTGGTGACCCGGTCCTCTCGCTACCGAAGGGCTTTGTGGGAAAGGGAGTGTCTGTTCCTATGGACCCTGTGCATGATGGGAGAAAGGGCCTGTGGCTCAGAGCCAGGGACTCGGGTCAGATATGACCTTGCCGCCCTAGACTGGCAGGCTAGGAGAAGTCTAGCTGCTATTGCCTCTGGCTTCCCCATGGCAGTAGCCACCTGAGGGACTCCTGCTTGGCTCTGTCCTCCCTACCACAAGATCCTCCTGCCCTGGGATGGCAGGCAAGCGCCGCCACACCTGGCTTCCCCTGACTTCTCAGCATCTCCTCAAACAGGTGCTAACTGCACCCCGAAGTCCTTCCCACAGCTCCCCTTCTCTCCAGTCAAACTGTAGTCCTTGTGTATACACCCCAACCCTTACACTCTACTCCCAGCAGGAGGCTGCCCCAGTGTTTCCCAAGCATCCAAGAGCTGCCTCCTTCGCGCTGGCTGTTCCTGGAATTCCACACATCAGCCATGTCCTCTCTCCCTACTCCCTTCTTTGGGGGTTTTGCCCTTTTCAGAGCCATCTCCCAGGCCCATCTTTCTTTCTTTCCTTTTCCCTCTTTTTTCCCTCCCTCCTTCCCTCTTTCCCTCACTCCCCATCCCCTACCCTTCTTTCTTCTTTTTAGTCCAGGCTGGCCTCAAATGCAAGACTATCCCAGCCTTCAGCCTCAGCTCTTCCTGCCTCAACCTACAGCTTTGTGCTAAGACGGAACTCTGCCAACTAAGCTATAGCCC